GCCAGGATCCGTGCCACCAGCTCCACCAGCTCGCTGGCCCGGTAGCTGCGGTAGCGGCCGCTGCGCCACAGCTCGTACAGCCCCGTGCCGCGGATCACCAGCGTCGGGTAGAGCTTCAGCCCGTCCGGCCGGAACGCCGGGTTCTCAAAAAACTCCTGAGGAAAAGGGACAAAGGAAAATTTAATGGGGTTAATGATGAAAAAAAAAATAATTTCCAGGGGGGTTCTGCTGTGGATTTATTATCTGTCTTTATTCTATTGATTTATTCCAGTTATTTGTTCTGTTCTATTTATTAATTCTATTAATTTATTCCAATCATTTGTTCCGTTCTGTTTATTCTATTTGTTAATTCTATTTATTTATTCCCATTATTTGTTCTATTCTATTTATTCTATTTATTAATTCTATTGATTTATTCCAATCATTTGTTCTGTTCTGCTTATTCTACCTATTAATTCTATTTATTTATTCCATTCAATTGTTCTATTTCTTCCATTCTATTGATATTAATTTATTTACACTGTTTATTCTATTTATTTATTCCAACTATTTGTTCTACTTCTTCCATTCTATTCATATTAATTTATTTATTCTGTGTGTTTATTCCATTGATTTATTCCAATTATTTATTCTATTTCTTCTCTTCTATCAATATTAATTTATTTATTCTATGTTTTTATTCTATTTATTTATTCCATTCATTTATTCTATTCTATGTATTCTATTTATTAATTCTATTGATTTATTCCAATTATTTGTTCTGTTCTATTTATTCTATTTATTAATTCCATTTATTTCAATCATTTATTCTGTTCTATTTATTCTATTTATTAATTCTATTTATTTATTCTAATCATTTATTCTATTCTATTTATTCTATTCTATTTATTCTATTGATTTATTCCAATCACTTGTTCTTTTCTGTGTATTCTCCCTATTAATTCTATTTATTTATTCTATTCATTTGTTCTATTTCTTCCATTTAATTGATATTAATTTTTTATCCTGTTGGTTTTTTCTATTTATTTATTCCCTTCTCTTATTCTATTTCTTCTCTTCTATTGACATTAATTTACTTATTCTGTGTGTTTATTCTATTGATTTATTCCATTCATTTATTCTATTCTATTTATTCTATTAATTAATTCTATTGATTTATTCCATTCATTTATTCTATTCTATTTATTCTATTTATTAATTCTATTGATTTATTCCAATCATTTATTCTGTTCTATTTATTCAATTTATTAATTCTATTTATTTATTCCAATCATTTATTCTATTCCATGTATTCTATTTATTAATTCCATTGATTTATTCCAATCATTTCTATTTCTTCTATTCTATTGATATTAATTTATTTATCCTGTTCGTTTATTCTATTTATTTATTCCAATTGTTTGTTCTATTTCTTCCATTCTATTGATATTAATTTATTTATCCAGTTCCAGTTCGTTTATTCTATTTATTTATTCCATTCACTTATTCTATTTCTTCTATTCTATTGATAATAATTTATTTATTATGTGTGTTTATTCCATTGATTTATTCCAATCATTTATTCTGCTCTATTTATTCTATTTATTAATTCTAATGATTTATTCCAATCATTTGTTCTATTTCCTCTATTCTATTGATATCTTAAGAATTAAATCCTGGAAATTAATTCCTGGCAATTAAATCCCAACAATTAAATCCCGACAATTAAATCCCAAGAATTAAATCCCAACAATTAAATCCTGAGAATAAATCCTGACAATTAAATCCCGACAAATAATTCCTGAAAATTAATTCCTTTCAATTAAATCCAAGTTATTAAATCCCGACAATTAAATCCTGAAAATTAATTCCCAAAGGTTAAATCCTGAAAATTAAATCCCAGAAATTAAATCCTGAGAATTAATCCCAATAATTAATCCCCAACAATTAAATCGTGATAATTAAGACCCGAGAATTAAATCCCAACAATTAAATCTCAAGAATTAAATCCCACTAATTAACTCCCGACAATTAAATCCCAATAATTAAATCCCAACAATTCATTCCCGACAATTAAATCCTGAGAATTAAATCCCACTAATTAATTCCCAACAATTAAATCCCAGCAATTAAATCCTGAGAATGAATCCTGACAATTAAATCCCGACAAATAATTCCTGCAAATTAATTCCTGTCAATTAAATCCAAGTTATTAAATCCCAACAATTAATCCTGAAAATGAATTCCCAAAGGTTAAATCCTGAAAATTAAACCCCAATAATTAAATCCCGAGAATGAAATCCCATTAATTAATTCCTGACAATTAAATCCCGACAATTAAAGCCCGACAATTAAATCCTTACAAATCCTGACAATTAATTCCTGAAAATTAATTCCCTGACAATTAAATCCTGGAAGTTAATTCCCGACAATTAAATCCCGAGAATTAAATCCCATTCATTAATCCCTGACAATTAAATCCCGAGAATTAAATCCCATTATTTAATTCCCAACAATTAAATCCCAAGAATTACATCCCATTAATTAATTCCCGACAATTAAATCCCGAGAATTAAATTCCAATAATTAATTCCCGACAATTAAATCCCGACAATTAAATCCCGGCAATTAAATCCCAATAATTAATTCCTGAAAATTAATTCCTTACAATTAAATCCTGAAAGTTAATTCCCGACAATTAAATCCCAACAATTAAATCCTGACGATTAAATTCTGAAAATTAATTCCCGACAATTAAATCCCGAAAATTAAATCCCAAAAATTAAATCCCAAAAATTAAATTCCAATAATTAATTCCCAACAATTAATTCCTGAAAATTAATTCCTGACAATTAAATCCTGAAAATTAATTCCCGACAATTAAATCCCAAGAATGAAATCCCGAGATTTACTCAAGAAAAATCAGATTTTTTTTTTACTTTTCCCCTAAAAAAATCACTTTTAAATGGTTTTGTCATTAAAAAATCCATGAATTAACTCAACAAAAATCGGCTCCAAAAATCCGATTTTTTCCCCCCCAAAAAATCCGTTTAAAATCATTTTGTCACTAAAATGAATCTGTGGATTAACTCAACAAAAATCAGCTCCAAAAATGGGATTTTTTTCCACTTTTTTTCCTAAAAAAGTCCATTCAAATTGTTTTGTCATTAAAAAATATGGATTAACTCAACAAAAATCAGATTTATTTTTACTTTTTCCCTAAAAAAATCCATTTAAAAATGTTTTGTTGCTAAAAAATTCCTGGATTAACTCAACAAAAATCAGATTTTTTCCACTTTTTTCCCCAAAAAAATCAGTTTAAAATCATTTTGTCGCTAAAATATAAATCCATGGATTAACTCAATAAAAATTGGATTTTTTTTTTTTTCATTTTTTCCCTAAAAAGTCCATTTTAAATGGTTTTGTCGTTAAAAAATCCAAAAATCCGTGGATTAACTCAAAAAAAATCAGATTTTTTTTACTTATTTCCCCCCAAAAAATCCATTTAAAATCATTTTGTCGCTAAAAACTAAATCCCTGGATTAACTCAACAAAAATCGGGTTTTTTTTTTACCTTTTCCCCTAAAAAAGTCCATTTTAAATCGATTTGCTGCTAAAAAATATGGATTAACTCAACAAAAATCTGTTTTAAATAGTTTTGTAGTTAAGAAATAAATCCGTGGATTAACTCAACAAAAATTGATTTTTTTTATGTTTTCCCTAAAAAAGTCCATTTTAAATGGTTTTGTCATTAAAAAACAAATCAGTGGATTACTCAAAAATCAGCTTAAAAAATCAGATTTTTACCACTTTTTTCCCAAAAAATAACATTTATATGGTTTTGTCATTAAAAAATCCATGGATTAACTCAACAAAAATCAGCTCCAAAAATCGGATTTTT